GGATTTTAAAAAAAAAAAATGACAAATGATTTAAATTATAACGAGAAATCTTTATACTAAACGAATTCTCTTTTTCATTAGGGATAATACACTTTCGTAAATACTTACAAAAACTCTTAGCAACAAAACCTCTAAAAATTCCTAAACTCAACCTACCACCACATTTTTACCATTAATAAAATAGACTGAGATACACCCTTTTCTTCTCTTTTAATAACAATAACATGGTAGAAGGTTAATCCACAACAAAGTTTACATATTTATCACTTGAAAATGTCAACCACAGGCCTACGAGGCTATTAAGTTAGCCCAAGGAGGTGAAATAAACCTCACGGCTGCGTCCGCGGTGTGAATTACAAACATATGTCCCAGTAACATCTTAATATATAATTAAAAATTAAAGACTAACTTAAATTGAATGTAAAAGGTAACACCTAATACACAATTAAGATAATATGAATATAATTAAAAAAAATCTTCCATGTGTACCCTTGTTCTGAAACTTATAACAATGATAAAACAACGATAGAATTACAACAAGCAAACTCTAACTAAAATATCATAATAAACTCATATCTGAAGGACCTACCAAAACCACACAGCCGTATGCGAAACATCCATCAGATTGATGTCAAATAAAGCGAACAGTACAGAATTACTTATTACTAGGTAACTCACGAGTGGTATGATTCTTGCTGGTACTTATAAGAGCGTTCTGGTTTCTATTATTGTGTATCGCGCAAACTGCTGCATGTGAACTCAGAGTCGTTGAACCATTGGTATTTTTAATGACTACTGATAGCGTTAATACATGTGTGTTTGTATTCATTAACAATGTGAGACTTTCTTATCAAGATGTTTTGCATCAACTACGTGTGTTCAAACAATATGTACATTGTGAAAAAATTAAAAACTGAGACAGCCCATACCCATTAGGGTTAGGCAGAGCATACTTATAAAGAACAAATAGAAAATATAAACTAAGATGAGACTGAAATTTTGATGTCTATTGCTCGTGTGCAACCGTGCCGTGCTCAAATAATAACATCGCATGCTACCACCACCAGCGCGGGCTAAAATATCCACTACTAGATAATCTATGATTATAACTGCTTATTATTCCTACGTAATCCTAATGCCTCTCTACAGCTTCTCGCTTCAGCCCCCATTGCTAATCAGAGAGAAATACGCAAGAAAGCGTGCTATGCATAGATGAGCTTCATTTCTGTATTCAACCAACCCGCTATAGGTGAATAAAACGCTGCTTATGATGAAAGACTCCTTTTTTTTTATTATTGATTACTGACCCTCTATGGGACTGAACCCCCTACAGGAGAGTCTGAAGAATGTAATGTAATTTTCTTCTTTCTTGTTGCATATATCGAATATTTTGTTAGTAATGAGTCCTTTTTCGCTGAGAAGAATCGATAGAAAAAAACTAAGTAATTGTTAAGTTCAAGGAATGAGATAAGGAAAAGATTAACAATATGTGCGCCACACCATATTATAGAACTACCTATCTTACCCAGCCAGGAGAGATTTTTTTTCCTTATGTGTTCAACTTGGATATCCTTGGTCAGACCAGGGCGACTCGAACGCCAACGAGGAGTCCAATGGGAAAAGTAAAACCCCGTACACGGGGAATTTGCTTTCAATTTCATTTAGCGAAATACTCGCTTTTTGAGTCCCCCTCAACAACCTCTTATATGTCCTCACTAACAGAACGCCATGCGCCCAGACCATGTACTATTGAACCGCCTCATCCCAAAGAACGAACATCAATATAGAAAGAAGAACTATAGCATACCAAAAAGCATTCGTTCACCTAGAAAAAATATGCCAAAACCCAAATTGCTTACCATATTTTCAAGTTGATTTCCTTTGCGCTCATTTCCGTGAAATCGTTAGTTGTCTTTGGTGCCAAAAAATCCGGCCACCTTTTATTCTATTACGATGAACATCGTTTGTACACCTTGTACTAATAATCATGACCGGGTGATTCGCCTCAACTTGCCGAATGGTACATTATAACTTTATCGTATGGCATTTTGTTTCTGGTTTAGCCTATGTCTGACCATGTTTACTTACATGAACTTGCGGGCTCCTAAGTGCATAGATTACCAAAGCATGCTTTTTTATATGATGATTTTACTGTCTTAAGTAATAATGAGCTACTTCATTGTCGTTCTTGACCGCTGAGGCGGCTCCTTAAGGCATCAGAAGTAGGATTTTCTACTCCGAAGCACACTTAGTTCTTAAATTAACAATATTATTAACAAAGTTAACTCACATAAGAAATATCTAATTTAACAGGGTCGACTCTAACCGGGAATGCCGGAGGATTCGTACTGATCCATAAACATTTTGTTTCATACCAAAAGACGATGTGTGGCCGGACCCGCAAATACATTGCATTCATCTACTCTCGTTTCACCTGTATCTCAAACCACTTCCCGCCTGCGGGTAGAGTCCGATAATCTAGGTCAATGGATCGATATAGCATGTAAGTGCCGGACCGGGGGAAGTTTAGTCATTTCAAAAAACTATTTCTATATAGCTTTTTAAAAATTTCAATTATTATAGCAATCACCACAACTAAAAGTTGGAGAGAAACCCATTGCGCGGACTAGCATAATATAATCTGTCCGAGATGATATACTAATCTCAGTATATCTAATAAAATTTCAAAGATTTTTAATGCATTAGTTTTAGAAGCATTTTTTAATTCCATGTCTATAAGTGTAGTGGATTCTCTTAGGAATTTCTCTAGTTGTACGATCCCAAAATTTTCAATGTCTTAACTTTACCCAACCTTTCATCATAAAGACCGGACAGCATGATTTTATACGACTAGTGTTTTATCTGGCTTCCTTTGTCAGCAGAGAATTAAGTCCAGTATGGTCTATCATAGTTAGGTCGTAGAGTATGTATAGCGAATAGTTGAATGGACCAACACCACAGATACTATTTATAATTTTAAGGGGCTCTAAAGGTGTGAGCTCCCTACGAATGTAATCACCACGTGAACTCTCAAACATTAATACTAACCTTAAGTTTTATGTGTGTTAATAAAGTAACAACTCGATCCTTTTCGTGACAGAGCACGGTATATTAATATGTCTTTCTACACCCATCCTACGAGGTAATTGCAGACAACAGCGATGAGCCAAGGAACAAATTCACTCCCCTTCTCTTCTAACTGTTCAAGTTTCAGAGAATAGCGTTCGTCCTCTATGGCTTTCGTGTCGTCCTAGTTTTCACTTTCTCCTAGTCTCAAAGCCATACGTGTGGAATGTTGAAATCTGAACCTGTAGAGTACAAGTACCGGTACATCTATTCACAAAATTGTTCACTAACCAAGCCCTGTGATTGATCTACCGGTGATACCGCGCGAAGTTGACATTCCCCTTTGATAGGAAGCCTAGAAATTCCCTTGCCACTAAAACCCACTTTAAGACGAAGAATTCGGAATCCTACTAATCGACGTCACTTAATAATCGAGAGGAAAGATTAATAATCCTTAGAAATTCTGATTGCATCTTAAAATGAAATTAATACATCCCACGAGGTTGCTCCTTGCTTGTGCGCCGTAGGAAGAGCCTGAGTTCGGCCCCAAATATAGAGGATAACCTCATTTTGCAATCGATACT